GTCCGGGGACTATCTTTGGCTGGTTGTGAAAACGTGCTGCGCTGATGAATACATTCAGACACTAGCGAGTCATGAGTACTGCGACAGACTAAAGCGTTTACCAGTACTGGGGAAAGTTTATAAACACTAAGGAAGATCATCAAGTATTGGATGAACGTTTTCAAATGTACACACAGTGTTCACACAAGTGCGTGTTGCGTTACTAACAGTTTAATCCTGATGGAAACCCCCAAAACGTGCGCCTACAGCGCTGAAGAGAAATAATTTGTGAGTCTTAAAAGGTACAACTAGAAAACGTTTATTGATGAGTTCACTTACGTCTGCATTGGAGCAGCACTCAGAGAAAGTAAGCTAACGTTCGGACTATACTGTTTCAGATTCTGTAAGTACAGTACAGCACTGGTTTTAAGTGTCTATGGTTGCGTCATTTGAAAGCTGAAATGATATTTTAAATTCGAGTTCCAAAAATACTAGAAATTGCCGACAAAAATAGAGAATAAACAACCATAACCATCATATTCTGATTCGCTAGAAATCGCTTTCACTAAAATATGTTGATGGCTACTTCTTTCAAGGGCATAGACCCGGGTGCTCGAATCAGAAACGATTTGACAGGTGTGAAATTTCTCCTCTGTAAATCTTAACAATGTCAGAATTTAGAAAAGCGATCTGGTCAGCTTTTCTATTATTGTGTTCACATGGCAGAAAAAACGACATCGCTATGCTACGTAAGTTTCTACGTAAGGTGCTCGGTATTTCACTCAGGCTACGTAATATTCTACGTAAGGTGCTCGGTATTAATCTACCAACGCGTGGTAGCCGCGTGCTGTGCACATGCACGGCAGACATTGTGTTGCAGTGCAGTCCGTTTTCGGATGTGCATGCGCGAGGAACTTTCTTCTTTGGAACTGCTTCTTGCATGAGCTGTTTCGGATATTTCGTCTCCTGTCTTATTTCGCTTTGGCTCTGCTGAGACCTCCTTTAACGGAATATTACTCAGGTGAGTTGACCGGTTCCTTTGATTCATTTGCTTGTGTTGACTCTTTCATTTACGAAAAGTGTGCTGATTTTAGGTGGATTTTAGGTGGAATACAATAAATAATGGAAAAGCTGACAGGAACTGTTTTCTAAATTTAGCTTTTCTGCTGTATTCCTTTTACGGAATACTCAATGACAGGTGATCTCTGAGTTGACCAGTTTCCTTCCATTCATTTGCTTATGCTCACCCTTTCATTTACGGAAACGTGTGCTGATTTTATTCGGATTTAGATCCATTCGTATCTCTTTGCCCTTGCCAACAGTGTGCGAAGAACGCGAGTTCACCTTCTTGACGGTAAGGCTTATGTTGAATGTTGCTGCTGAGGCTTAGATGTGTTGTCGAAATGCTCATGTTAATTGTACATTGGTACGTTACAAGTAAGGCACTGGTCATGATTGCTTCCGGCATTCCGTGCTCCGATCATAGGGTAGAATCTGAATTTTGCAATGGCATAGCATCGTTGGCATTTCCCAATCTGGGGGGAAAGAATTGGCCGAGTATGCAAAATATATTTGCATATCAGGGAAAATCTCCATTTAATTTTAATATTGAGAGGTTCATGCATTCAGTGACTTGTTTGCTTCATACGAACCAAACCAATGGGTGCAGTCTCGTCTCTTGAAAATCTCTTACGATTGGATTTGTTTACTCGAGTCTGGGCGGTTTGATTTGTGAGTAGCGCCGGGATTGCACTGCCCCTAATAACGTCGCGTGCCGGCAGAGCAAGAATTACGATCGGCAATCTGTTTGAAGTACCTGCAAGAGAGTGCTGTACATGTATCGTATTTTCTCTGTTGTTGTTTCAATTGCCGTCATGTTCCTGAAGAAAGGTTCAGTGACTCATTTGTTTCACACAAGACGAGTCAATGGTTTGGTCTGACTTAGAATCTTTCGCTGTAGAATAAATCTATTCGTGCCTCTATTGGACAAATAATTGTATTCACTCGTTATAAAATAGGGTTAAGACAAACTCACAGAGCAAATGCCATTGGTCCCTTGATGTTCGTCCTAAAGAGGTTTGACTGGATATCATTCATACTCACCAAAGACATGTAACATTTTTTTATTATGGAGTGCCTTGTTTATCTCTCGGTACCTCCAACTATATATCCTTGCCCCTTTAAATATCCTCAGGATAAGTGTAGTTGTTGGAACGAGGTGTCGGACTCAACAATGTATTTGTTTACATATTAATACATGTTTATTGTTTCTACTTTGCTGTGTTGTTTTAGACAATCGTGGACTTGTAACACTTTGAAGTCATTGAACTACATGTACTTCCAAAGGTTTTATCGACATCAGCAGGATTACGATTTCAGTACAATAAGATGCAGGATGACCTTATCATGACAACCCATGACTACCATAAACACAGAATCAAGAAAAACATCTGCGGCACGCACCTGGTTACAATTCTCAAGTAAATGTGATTTAGGGTGTGGAAATCTGAATTTTCTGAAAGACAAGACAAAGTATCACCGCGTACCGCCACTACCCAAAATGATTCCCCTGCAGAAGAACATGAATATGCAAGACTAGTGCCATTTTCTGCAAGAAAAGGCTTGCACATCAATGCGTATAATACGGTATTGAATTTGATATGATGCACATGTACATGTAGGGGCGCTAGGCCATTATTTAGGGCATTCCATTGGTGACATAATTATTATCATAATATCAAGAGTACATAACCCCCCCAGAGTGTGCAACTCCCACATACCCTGCTGTCCCGTCAGAATTTCAAGTTGACGTCATTATTTATGACGCAATGCTCCTTGCCCCAGTGATTTACAACATGTGTACGGGTGTCAACGCATCACACGTTTTTCTTTCCAATAATTTGTACAGGATCGATCGGCTTCGGTCAACCACAGGTTCCGGATTCGTCTGATAATCCGTGTACTGTGCGCATTGCATCATCAAAATGACGTCAACTTGAAATTCTGTCGGGACAGCACCCATAGTGGAGTTGCACACTCTGGGGGGGGGGGGGGTTATGTACTCTTGATAATATCCTTAGCTAAAAAAACAAAAGAAATTATAGCAATAAAAACTGCTTTATGGCAGTTTTCTAAAAAAAGTTATTGTGTTCTAGGCCATGGGCCCCGTCTAAAAAGTAAGAAATTAACGAAATGTGATAGCCGAAAATTAAAATTTCACGCAAAACCTCACAATAATCACAGCACTTGAGGATCTTAGTTTAAAAAAATACTCCTTTCAACACTTGTTTAGTCTGACACTTTACGGGTGACTTTTACTTCGCCAACATGCATGAATAGGAAAGAGGACCCAGAGAGGAAAAGGTCTTCTCGCTTTTCATCCTGTGTGTGATTATTGTGAGGTTTTGTGTGAAATTTTAATTTTCGGCTATCACATTTCGTTAATTTCTTACTTTTTAGACGGGGCCCATGGACTAGAACACAATAACTTTTTTTAGAAAACTGCCATAAAGCAGTTTTTATTGCTATAATATACTTTTGGAGAGGCGATGGAGCAGGGAAGGGAGTCTGGCTTGACCCACCCAGCAGGAATTCAGAACCTGGGTGCGCTACAACACAAGCTACAGTACGCAGTAAAATGGTCGTATTTCCTTGGGATTTTTTATTTGAAAATTGGGTGCTCGAATCAGAAACAGCTAACTCGTCAGATCGTCTCCGATTCAAGCACACGGGTCTACCATCGTCTACGCTTGGTATGGCAGTTGAGAGCAGGGAGTAGTAACTTACTACTTCGTTTTTGAGAGCAAGATGGTCAGTGGAGTCGCAGATTCAGCAGGTCTTTGGCAGCACCGTACAGGAGACCTACGTCCTCGAATCAAGGACCGAGCAAAAAGTGGGTCGCGAGTATTTCAAAAACCGTTTACCGGGCAGCTCTGAAATTTGGCATACCGTTAGCGGGCCGTATGTTGATGGTATTTGTGTAAACGAAACGAAATCGAAACAAGTTTAGGTACAATTTCAGGCTGTTTCTGTTTTGGTACCTTGTCTCTCATTCGAGCACCCGGGTCTACGAGTATGCGCCCACTTGCAGCAAGGCAAGAAAAGCTATGCAAGCTTCAAGCACAGAATTTAGCAGGGCCTAATTAAAAACTGTGATCAGATAAGTTGACGAAGACAACATAAACAGCTCACCACACATGTACCCTCCATAAACTATAGTGTTTGTGGGCTTGACTAGACAACAACAACAGTTTTCTGTGTCGGTTTACACATGTTAGCCTGCTCTGTTCAAGTCAAGGTTCACAGATTTCAAGAATACAAAACTGGACGAAAAACCAATCGCCATGTGGTACAGTAGTAAAACACATAATATCTTTATAATGATATAAATTATACCTTTGGATCCAAACAATAATAAGAGGGACGAATAAAGCGTTTTACTGCGAGTTTCACGCACTAAGCGGTCGTGAGAAAACGGTTATGAGTAAATCTGGATCAGTACTGATTTATATATCCGCAAAGCGAAGTGTAAATACCTTTTGATGGAACGACCCATGACAAAGAAACACACAACAGCAGTTAGTATAATTATACAGGTGAAAACGTCCTACCAGTATAATCTCTTGAACCTGTTTTCTTAGGTGTTGGCGATCAAGTATTTTTGTTCAGCCCGTGGATTGCAATAAGAACGAGGTCATGTCTGGATTTGTAGGGTGAGAGGGTCGGAGTCTTTTTGGCAGAAAGGTAACTTATAGTACGGTATTGTTAGGATAAAGAACTAAACCAGTCCAAGGAGCAGGTTGCTTCGACCACGTTCTCTCCCCTCAGTAGAGCTCAGAGTTAGTGGCCGATCCGATCGCCAATACGTCTAATGAATGAGCAAAGCAACCAAGTTGAAGTATCAAATTTAGTTCCCTAACTGCGATAAAAACAGCACGGTATTAAACAGGGTAGATAGCTTAGACGCATAACAGAAAGAGTGCTCAGATAACGTACTGATTTTTTCTTTTTCCTTTTCAAGGATGGAGAGCCAGAAACTGCCACCATATGGAGCGGCATTGATTATGATTACGTTGTTCAAGCTTGCATCAGGTAAGTGTAGCGATGATAGCTTACCAATTCAGTTATATAATATTAACGCCATTCCTCACACAAAAAAGTCGACAAAGTGGCCCCTTTGGATTACGAGGTGCTGGTTAAAAAAAACTGGTTTGGAAGCTCTAATTAGATTGGCTGGTAGCTCAGAGTTGAGCTACTGTTAGCTCGAAGTAGATCTGCTGTCAGCTCAGCGTACAGCTGAAACACTAAATAGGTATGATATACGAGCCGTAGCTGAAAGCAGAGCTGAAGCAAATGCCTTGATAACACCAGTTGTGAGAGTGGACCGAATTAGTGGGTGCGATGTAATGATGGTGTGAATAAGTTGGATATGGAAGGATGTTGGGAAACGAAAAACTGCTGAAGCCCGATCTGTTGTCTGGTAGAACACAAACAGGCAAATAAGCGGCGAGGAGACAATAACTTTGATAAGGCAATAAGCAGAATCAGCGAAGCGGACATTGGACGTAGTAATGAACAAAAATAAAAGATGGATAATAAAGATTTCGAACACGTTTTCTAGAGACAAGAAGGCAAGCATTTTTTGGGTTTAATATGCAGCAAAACAAAGTGCATGATGTTAGTCTTGAATGCAGTGCAAAGCAATGCAGTTCACACACACCCTCACCCTCACACACACACACACACACACACACAAACGCACAAACATACACACACACACACACACACACGCACACACATATGAACTAACTGCCGAATCCAACTCTGCAGTCTAATAGGCAAGCAACCACAATAGGAGAAGAACAGACTCCAGGATGACCCAGGATCAGGAGAAGCACACACATAAGTGAGTGCAAAATGACTGATGCCTGTTGTGGTCCTGCTGCCGTCAATCAAAAATTGCTCTCTTCACAAGATGGGCGGTGATAGAACCAAAGGATAAGTAGATGTCCCTAGTGCCTGCCTGGTCACCAAAGCAGAGTTCAGTAGCAGATGGGTGAGTGACGACACCCTACATTACAAGGATGCACTTGTGGACCGCCAAACCACCTCTGCTGCGAAACCAGCAACACTAGTGACCAGACTGTACCGCACCATGCTGCGCAGTGTCAAACCACTCCCCTTCAAAATGTAGGTGAAGGATGTTTGTTCAAACAACACCACGCCAGTGATGTCGGGTTTCACACACACACACACACACACACACACACACACACACACACACACACACACACACACACACACACACACACACACACACACACACACACACACACACACACACACACACACACACACACACACCATGAACCATGTACCATGTACACGCCCGTCGCAAGAGAAGCACGCAAATCTGCAAATACACTGGATGTGCACCCAAGTAGTTTCTCTTTATAGCAACGATAGCGGATCTGATTCTGATGCAGATCAAGACAAGCGCCAGATAACTGTCTAATCCACACGACTGGCGAAGCCATGTGAATCGACCCCCAGTGCACACCTGGTCTACGCCACACGCAGTACATCGGAATAAGACGGCCAAGACCCTACACCTGCTGGGGTAGCCAGTATAGACAGCATGCTGCTTCGATAGAAGCAGACACTACATGCACTGGTATCTTGAAGTGAATTGGAGTTAGTTTACCAACCAGTCTCGGCAACTGGGTACTGGGAACCCAGGGCCAATAGACGTACCAACAACCTCAGCCATGAAAGCTATTATAGTAACGACACACTGGATTGTGGAGCCCAAACTAGTCCAACTTCTAAATGCTTTGGCAAGAGGGTAGCCTTCCGACAGGTTGGACGCGCACACAAACACATAAACACACATGGGCATAATTACACTGGTACACTAACAGGCACGCGTCCGCGTATACACACACACTTTCAGATATACATGTGCAGATATGCGCACACACACCTTTCCTCGCATACACCTGCCAGTGCCTGGCCACACAGCTCTCAAAGGGAAAGAACATGACATTTGTGGCCAGACTTGTCTCCAGGGTGTTCGAAACGCAGCGCAAAATCCACACGCTCAACTGGCAGTTCTCCACGCTGCTACATCCCCCAGCGCACACCCTGTCGACAAGTGTGGAATCTAAACCCACCATCGACCTTGAACACGGACTGCACTGGCCGCAGTGACTGTGCCCCGACACCAGCCATCTGGCCCGCAGTAGTAAACTGGAGTGGTGTCATTAACAAAGGAAAGCCTGCACACACACAAACGTGCGTTTGCACACACACACACCAACACGCACGCGCACACGCACACACACACGCACACCGACTTGCGCACAAGTGCGCACACACCCATACACAGACAATGGTATAGTAAGTTGCTCGCAAAGCAGTCATATGCTCTGGCTTGAACCTCCAGCAGCGCTGGTTTCGCCCTGGCTACTTGTCGTCTTGCCCTCTCCACTACTGCCCGCAGCAAAACCTTCCCTTCCGGAAACTCTGAGTAGACCAGTTCTGTGTGTTGTGTTTACACCTTCTGCTTTAATATGATGGCATTCGTTGTTCGTATCAACCTTTTAGGTTGCCCCTTACTGGCCTTAAGATGTGGCTCTGGGTTCACTACTACATGCACATCACTGTCAGCATGTATAGAAAATGCAAAATCAGAGTCACTGGTCTTCTCCAGTGTTGCACTTGCGTTAACATGCGTGCAATTGGTGTAGCACTCTCCATTATACCCGCCACACCATTTGCGAATCTCTGAGCCCTTGTGCTAGCCGAGAAAAGCCCAGACATGGTTGTCCTTCTCTCGAGCAGCGCTGATGATGCGACGCCAACTTGTGGTCTCGATATTACTCGCTCCAGGCTTCTCGTTTCTACTAAAGTGGGCTTAATGACACAGTCACAAATTTAAGCAATCTTACTCCGCTGGGCTTTCATTTGCCACTTCGTTGTCGTCACCTGCCTCATTCGGCACCTCGCTCCCACTAGAAACCTCTTCTTCCATTGTTGTCAAACAACATAAATGTACACGAATGGAATAAAGTGATCACCGAATTCAAAGTGCAATATTGTCCTCAACGTCGTCATCTTCTAAAATAGAAACGATTGTTCCTCACTCTCGAACTCGGGCTTTCGCGCTGGCTCGTGCGATGCACATTTCACCACTCGTGTAAAAGTATTTTGTTCTCACGGTGGAATTTGGTCGAGAAAAGGAGCCCTCCGGAAGGTCTCTGAATCGGTTCTGGAACGTCCAACAAGCAAAAACGCCGCCTTTGTGATGTCGTTGACAAACACTGTAAGCGGAGATTTATCCCTCCGAGAGTGCAACCTGTGATTTCGAGTTTTGGCTCACGGACTAAATGGAGTGACCCGCATTATTGTGTGCGCTTTTTTGTCCACGTCAAGCTCTGTATTTGGAGTCTATTAGTCTAGGTACCAGTATTGCGTACACAGCTCACTACCTGACTGGACAAAGTACATCACAGGATGGAATACAGTATTTACCATCATGCGTGGCTACTGGCGCCACTGGTTGCCACAGTAATACCAATGCGAGGAATGTCGGCAACAGCAAGATGACACTGCTGGAAAACGGCCCACGTGCACAGATTAAAGAGGACCTTTGAAATGCAGCAACCCTGCCGGAGACCGTTCTGCACCGTTCTGGATTGGTGGCGATTCAACTCCCGCAATCTTCAACATTGCTGTCATATTGGTGTGGAAAGAGCGTATGATGTTGATGAGTCGCTCAGGGACACCTGCCTTCTGGACTCCGGGAAAATCCATAGGCATTGGCAGTTGACAGAGTCATACGCCTTACGTACGCACGCACGCACGCACACACACACATCACACGCTTAGACACATACGTACGCACGCACGCACACACACACATCACACGCTTAGACACATACACACCCGCGTACGCCCACGCCTACGCACACACACACATACACACACACACACACACACATGACAACGGAAACTGGGAGCGAAGGCCAATCAGGACGAATCCAGAAGTTGCAGTAGACAACAGCCCCACCACCGCTGCCACCAATATTGTATGTGGACTTTCTCCACCTGCTCCCAGCCCTTTGCCATCTCCACACTTATGCTATGGACGGCGAGATACCTACATTAACAAAGACGTATTGACACGACGACGAAAACACAACTGGATATAAGCAGAATCAGCGAGGCGGACATTGAACGTAGTCATGAACAAAAATAAGCGCCGCGGAGACAATAACTTAAAAAAGGCAAATAGCATAATCAGCGAAGCGGATATTGGACGTAGTCATGAACAAAAATATAAAATGGATAAAAAAAACACGTTTTCTAGAGACATTCATCAGGGAAAATACGTCTCAATACTGAAATCTAGCAATGAACAACGATATATACGTGGAAGAGTACGAAATGCAGTATGTGAAAGAAAAAAAGGAGAAAGGATGGCGAAGTGCGAAAGACAAGAGAACGTGTTGGGAAATTTGTTTTATCCATCTTTTATTTTTGTTCATGACTACGTCCAATATCCGCTTCGCTGATTATGCTATTTGCCTTTTTAAGTTATTGTCTCCGCGGCGCTTATTCGGACAACTGCATATGACAAACTCAAGACGAAGTCTCTTAATACTGGAAGTGGAGGATGCTCGATGGTTCTTGCGGTAGATATCGCAGGCGCCTTTGACAAGGTTTCACACATCGGAGTCACTTACAAGCTGCAGACATTCGGCATCCGTGGCAGAGCCCTGACCTGGCTGACAGATTATTTGTCCCGCAGGAAGTTACAGGCTGTTGTGAATGGCCAGAGTTCGTCCCCCTACCCTATATAGTCGGGAGTACCCCAGTGGAGCATACTGGGGCCAACTCTATTCCTCATCTATGTAAACGATGCGGAGCAGTGCCTAGGTCCTGGATGTTCACTGGCCACCTTCGTCGATGATACAACGGTCTACACCTGTATTGGATCACCGAACCTGCTCCTTAAGAGTGAGAAAAGCTTACAAGCCACCCTGGATGCGCTCCATGACTGGGGCAAGAAGTGGCGGATCAGGTTTGAGCCCACAAAGTCACAGCTCATGACGATAATCCATCAACGGCACAGGTAGCCTATCATGGACCTCACGTTTGGAGATCACACTGTGTCTGAGCTATCGGAGATAAAACTCCTCGGCTTCACATTTGACTCGGGCCTCTCCTTCAAGACCCACCTCCACAACATAGCACTAAAGGCGAATTCTCGCCTTGGCTAACTGCGCAAAGCTGCTCGCGTACTCGATGGTGCTGGTAAACGAACCGTCTACAGAGGTTTTGTGAGGCCTGTCCTAGAGTATGCGCCATTGCTATGGATGGGAGCAGCTTCAAGCCATCTACGCCTTCTTGATCACGTGCAGAGACTTGGCCCTGATGTCCTCCTCTAGAGTTTGGCTGCACGGAGATTGGTCGCCGCCCTCAGTTACACGTATAAACTGATGTGTCTGGCAGTGCCACCGCAACTAACGTCGCTGGTCCCCTACAGCTTTCTTCACGAACATGTCATGGAACTTGGTCCGACTACTCGGCGCGCCACGAGTCTCAGCTACAGAACGTCCTCCCGGCGTCCTCTCCCGATTACGTGCGACGCTGCTTCCCCTACAGCATCATTGACGAGTGGAATAACTTGCCCCCAACTGTGCTGCAGTCTCCGCCACGCCTGACGTCACTCCTGTCGTTCAAGAGCAAGGTGCATCAGCACCTACGCCAGAGCCGCTGGTATTGGGCTACAGACTAACTGTAACACCCCATAATATCCATAATCAGCTCCCTCCCCCTCACTTATCTATTTATATGTGTTTCGTAATCCCGTCCATGGTGCGCTGGATAGCGCTAACGCCGAGACCTTAGGTCGGCGTTGCTAGTCCCGCCTCACCGGCACAGGCTCCCTGAGAGCCCCTATGAGTACATTGTCTGTCTTTTTTTTTGTTGTCTCGATCATTATTTTCTTTTGTCTTCTTCTTCTCCTCTCTTTGTTATGGTCTATCAGTAGGAGGTGCATTCTGTAAAAAAAAGAAAAGAAAAAAAGACTGCTTTTCACACCAGAGCAACAGGCATGCCCCAACACCATGTACACACAACTTTCACGAAACAACGGACTACTCCAGATTTGCTTCACTGAACACGCTAGCTTCTTTCTGTGTGTAGAGAATGGAATGACCTGCATTATTGTGTGTGCTTTTCTGTGCAGGTCAAGGTTTGGAGTTGAGGGCTGCTAGGCTACGTACCAGTACTGTGTACAAAGTTTATTACCTGACTGGACAAAGTACATCACAGATTGGACTACTGTATTTACCATCATGCTTGGCTACTGGTGCAACTGGTTCACTTATTCAACTGACTAACACTAACACTGGTGTGGTTGTTGGTGAGCATAACCAACCATTTGCTCAGAGTGGCACCCTTGGTGTTACACCTGCTGGATGGGACACTTCCCAACACCCCGTTCTCAACCCAAACTACACTGGACTGTACAGATGTACATCGGATATAACGGGTCATATGACAGCACCACAGACCTATCAACTGCATGTCGTAGGTGAGTACGTGTACACGAAATGCAACCCTACATAGGTAGTCAGGGGCGTTGGAAGGTATTTTAGTGTGGTACGGTCAGCCATCTGAAGTACAATTTACTTATGGGGGAGTGGTGGCTGAGCCAACATTTTTGGAAATTTAGATCCCAGGTCAGCTTATTTTATTGATTCACGGGATACCTGGGGCAAAAAGTGGTACGGTCAATGCCATAGTGACGGTACCGTGCCCGACGCACCTGGCAGTGTCTTTGTACCAATTACTACCCTCGTTCTATGCAGCATAAGCTTGCTATAGATGAAAAATCACCAAGAATCAGACATTATCCTCTGCTAGAGAACCTTTTATTTACTTCTTTTCAGGATTGTTCATGTGAGCTTTGCACGGAGCAACATCCGTCCACCGATGGAGCAATTTAATTGGAAGATCAGCACCATACTTCGGAACTCGCGTTTCCTGCCGGTTGACTTGACACTTGACTGACTCACGACTGAGTCACATGCACATGAGAAGCCCGTCTAACCTTTCATTAGCCAAACCTGCTCAATACACAGTGTTTCGGGAAATTACCCCCCCCCTTCCATTAGTTCAGCTTGACTAGGCTCATGCAATTTCTGCTCCGAGAGCACTACATTATGCAGTGCTCAACGAGCCAACAAATCACAAGGGATATCAATTTTTAAGCTGGCTCACTGTCTCCAGCCCGACAAAGACCTCGCCAGCACCAGGCATCAGTACCAGCCAATGTCGCACATGGAGTTGCGAGAACTGACGCTGCAGTGCGTGTGCCATTCGCAACGCCGTCAGCTCTAACCACCTATCGTAGTTGCATTCCCGCACGACGGAAAAGGTTGCGAACTAAGATTATTGCGAAATGGGCAATAAGTAGTGCAGAAAGAGACTGCTTCATACTTCGGAGCTCTCGTCTCCTGCTACATTATTCTTTATTCCCGTAGCTATGCAGAAGACGTTACTTCAGTAACGTCTGGCGCTAGCCAGGGTCCACACAGCTTTTATTATTTTGGTGTTTGTTTGTTTGTTTGTGTCACGCCTGGCGTTATCCCGTATCTGTCCCGTACTGTACCGTACCAGCAAAGACAGCTGCTGGCCACAATATTTTTGTTTATTTGTGCCATCGACATGTTTGGCGCTATCCTGTACCTGTCCCGTACCATCAAGAGAAGGAGTATATATGCGAAGTGTATCGGGGGAATGCATTCAGTGAAGTAACATTTTTTGTGGATTTGTGTGCGAGGCCGAGATCCCACTAGCAGGCTGGCGGGGCCGCCTGTCGACCAGCCCGGGAATCGCATGTAGACCGATAGCATAATAATTATAACGTATATATAGTCATTTAGATCTATAGCAGGGAGTCATATTATGTAAACGACTCCCTGCTGTATGGGAAGATTTTCTGGAAAGAAATACGAAGTAGGGAGACGAGTAGATGCAATCAGAATGAATGTTAGTTGCCGTCAGTATAATAATAAGGAGAAGAAGAACGCCCGTGATCGGCAGAGTCAGCGCCGGTCAGGACAGACGTCCCGTCGACTCCAGAACGCCCGTGATCGGCAGAGTCAGCGCAGGTCCCATGGCTATGCAGAAGACGTTACTTCAGTATCTCATTGAAACGTTTTTGCAATACAATGATGTAGCTAATCAAAGGAAAAAGCATTTCCATCAGTTCTAACAACATGCACGATGAGCTAGGCAACAAAGCATAGCGTAGGGCCATGAGCTTCCAAGCTCTCTCGTTTCCACGATGGTCCCTGGCCAATAAGGAAGATTATTATGATTCAAATCAGTCCAGAATCATATAAAATCAGTCTAGCAAGTAAGGAAACCAACACATTGCAGGGGGATGGGGATGGGGATACGATGGGATACAGTGTGAGCTACTACAGGAGCATATGGATGATAGAATGAGGCTAGACGCCACTGATTTAAACGCATGCTTGCTATTTGTTTCACGCAGGTCGGGGGTAGTTGGTTGAAATTAAGAAGGGACAGGTTGATGGGTGAGTTGGTGTGTCGGTATGTGTGTGATGTTCCCAATGTGTATGTTCTCATGTGTCGTAGTTCATATGGCTACTCTGTGATTGGTCGTGCAAGGTGAGGCTGTTGCAGGTGACGGGGAGCGCGGATGTACTTGATGTTGCGGGCAAGAGTAACCTGTCGTAAGAGCTGCCGGGAGACTAATGGGGGGAGTTGGAGATGATGCAGAAGACAGCTGTGATGGACTGGTGCAAAAAGGGGGATCCGCAAGCAGATACGGGCTGCTCGTCGCTGAACGCGTTCTAATTGGTTCTCCTGTGTGCGGGTGGTGTTGGACAACACGAGACTGCCGTACTCTATAACCGGGCGAATGTATACGGTTTAGATTACGAGCAGTTGGCCTCGTGTTTTACGAAGTTGGTGAAGGAGTTTCTTGGATTTGTTTATTATGTGCGTGATATGTGAGTTCCATTGGAGGTTGTTTTGTGGTATGATTCCAAGGTGACGGTGTTCGTTGACTTGCTTTAGGGGTGTGCCGTTAAGAGTGATGTTCAGTTGGTGGTTAGGTGTGAACGACAAGGTAACGGTCTTTGAGGCATTGACGAGGGGGTGCCATCTGCGCAGGCAGGTTGCGGCAGCTAAAACGGCTGACTGCAGGGACAACTCCGATGTCAAACGGTTCTGGTGTGTTGCGATGAGCGCCGTGTCATCTGCAAATTGGCTGCACTTTGTGTTCAAGTTGTTGCAGGTAGAGGGCAGGTCAATGGTGTAGATCAAGAACAGCAGGGGGCCTAGAACGGATCCTTGGGGCACCCCTGCTGGTATGGCTTGCCAATCACTGAAGGCGTCGCCATCACGAACACGATGACGGCGATGGGTGAGGTAGTTGACCATCCATTGCAGGGCGGTATCCTTCAGGCCGAGGTGTTGCAGTTTCTTGAGGAGACCAGCTGGCCAGACTCTGTCGAAAGCCTTCGAGAGATCAAAAAAGCAAGCTGTGACGGAAATACCTTTATCCCGGCTCTCGGAAACCTCGTGCACGAGTCTGGCGAGCTGGAGTTCGGTGCTATCATTGGCTCGAAAACCGGATTGATCTACTGGGAGGAAGGGTGTGACGTGCTTGTAGAGTCGCTTGTGGACGATCCTCTCCTGCACTTTACTGATAACGCTGAGAAGTGATATGGGCCTGTAGTTCGTTACCAATGACCGTTCGGCTTTCTTGTATAGTGGGCTCACAGTGGCATCACTCAAGTCCTGTAGTTGTTCACCTCTCCGAAATGACTCATTGAAAAGTCGGGAGAGTGACGGCGACAGCTCACGCGCCGTGGTCTTGAGGAGTCTTGTTGGGATGTCGTCAAACCAAAGGGGCTTTGCAAGGATTAAGGGTGCCTAGGAGCTGTTCTACCTCGGCGGGTGTGGTGGTGATTTGGGCAAGCTCTCTCTCTCGCGGGATGTTGGTAGAAGGATGTCGGGGACTGGCACGTTGTCAACTGAGACGGACTTGTTGCTTTCTGAAATGAAGAAGCTGTTGAATGCTTCTGCCTGCTCCAAGTTCGACGTGAGCTTCCTGCCATCATGGTTCAAAGCTGGCATTTCCTTTCTTGGTGAAATTCGAAGGGTCTTCATAAGTTTGAAGAGGTTTGGGCGGTTGGTATGGGTTTGGTCACAGTGGTTTTCGGCATTGGCTGATTTATGAACGAATTTGGACTTGGCACTTCGGAGAAGAGTTGTTGTCTTGTTTCGCTGAGTGGTGAACTGGTCCAAGTCTTCAGCCGTCCGTGTCCCGACGTATTTCCTGTATAACCCGTGCTTTGTACGGATATTATTTAGCAGATCAGGCGTCATGCATGGGCGTTTTTGAAACACTGCAGATCATCTATTCAACCGGGGTTGAGTGCAGAACTGGTGTGCGGTGCGAAGTAGAGTGTCACGCAAGAGCGACCACAGTTCGGTCAGCGAATATGACGGCAAGTCAATGTCGGATGGCAGGAGTTGAGTATACGCTAGCGCTTCTCTCACGGCGCCAACGTTCTCTGAATTCCAGTTCCGGGTGAAAGGTTGCAGGTTACGTCTGACACGCTCATCTGCTGGTGGCTGCATGGAGATAGCTCCCGGGATTGCCTGCTGACTGACATGACACTTGACCAATCCATGACTGCGTCTGGTGCACTCAGAAGCCCGTGGAACCTTCCATTCGGCAAACCTGCAAGAAAGTACCATTCCCTGCTCAATACACAGTGTTTCGTGGAATTCACCTCATATCAGGTGAGCTTGAGTAGTCTAACAAAAATTCTCTTTCGAGAGTACGGCATTATGTAGTGCTCTCCCAGCCCAAACCAACGTACAGTGCTGCTGCATTAACAGCGTGACCAGCACCTACTCAGCTTCAGACAGCCAAATGAGTTATGTCCCACGTGGACTTGTGAGCACAGACTATGACGGCCATTGGACACTTGCAACGCAGTCACCCTCAAATCGCCAAACAGCCAGCTAAGTCCTCAATTGGCAAGAACTATACACCGGCAGATAGTAGAACACCTCTTCTAGCGCTGAGGACATGTCCACCATCTTATCTTTTGGGATTTTCTTGAAATAAACATTTTGATTTTTCCACTCGCCCATGCTGAAATACGGCCAAAGTCATACCCGCTCAGGCAATCTCGCCCTTCCCCGACGTCTCCTCAGCACTTTCTAGTCCAACACTATTTCCGATGTTGCAGAGCAAGGTGTATTGTTGACTCTGACAAGGAAAAGCAGGGGGATCAATTGTCATTCTAAATGACAAGTTTCTCCTTCCGGCTCCAAAGCTTTTGGTGCGACCGTTGATGCAAACGTGACTGAATGCCTGAGCGCAGTTTTTGAATTTTATTGTAAGATGCACGGCGAAGGCGAAACACTGAAGAACAGAATCGCATAAAACCGCCTCCTAATAATTTGTTCGTTATCAGTGCTAAGAGGCAATTTATACCAGGGCAAGAATCATCCCGTGCTTGATGCTGCTCCCATGGA